TCCCTCAGCCCCCCGGAAGCCTGACTCTCCCTCAGCCCCCTGGAAGCCTGGCTCTCCCTCAGCCCCCCGGAAGCCTGGCTCTCCCTCAGCCCCCCAGAAGCCTGGCTGTCCCTCAGCCCCCTGGAAGCCTGGCTGTCCTGCCACGAGTGGCCTCGCTGTCTTCCAGGGGACCTGAAGATTGGCCTGCTGGACTTCCTGCTGTTCGGCAGCCTGATCGCGGCTGTGGACCCTGTGGCCGTGCTGGCTGTGTTCGAGGAGGTGCATGTCAACGAAGTCCTGTTCATCATCGTGTTTGGGGAGTCACTGCTGAATGACGCCGTCACCGTGGTGAGTGGGGCATGGGAATCACCATCACACGAGGGAGGGCAGTGTCCCCGCCCCCACAGCGTACCCCTTCCAGCTCTGTGCGGCCGCTATGAGGAGCCCAGCGTTTGTGAGGAGCTGCGGGGTCTCAGCTGGCACCCCACAGCCGCTGCACCAGGGTCCCTGTGCCGCTGAGCAGGTGGCCACAGCGGCACTTCTTCCATGTAGGTTGACTGTGCCTCCTTGTAACTCAGAGTAACTGGTTGTTTGGATTAGGAGATTCCTGCACTCGCCGGTGATTCAGACACTCCTAGCGCTACCTCGGCGCCCTGGTGGCACAGTGGTCAAGACCTGGGCTGCTAACCAAAAGATCAGCAGTTCGAATCCACCAGCCAGCCCTTGGAAACTCTGTGGGGCAGTCCCACTCTGTCCTATAGAGTCACTATGAGTCTGCATCGACTCTATGGCCACGGCCACGGGTTTTAGTGCTCCTTCACGTCCTTCCCCACCTGCGGCCCCGTGCGCGACACCACTTGTCTCTAGAGCAGCGGATCCTCAGCCTTTGATCCCATGACTGTCCAGTGCTCTGGACGAGGCACAAGGCACCTGGACGCCAGGTGACTCCCCCCACAGGACATCGCAGCAACGATGCCTCGCAGGATCAAACTGGAGTAGGATTGGCCCTCCTCAGGGACAACCTCACACCACCTAAATCACTCAGCTCCTAGCACCCCACGGAGAGGACAGCACATTACCCTAGGCCGCTTGAAAAGCCCGACAGCGTGATGAGCATGTAGCTGGGGTGGGGGCAAGAGGCTGGAGAGAGAGGCAGGGTCGAGGGCTGGTGGCTGCAGATTCGGCTGTTGGCTGGTCACACCTGGGGGGTGTCCGAGACTCCCTCTGTCAGGGCTCCATGTGGACAGGTGGGGGGGGTGGGCAGGACCTCCAGAGAACAGGGGGCCACATTGCCTCTGCTTGAGTGAACAGTGGATGTGTGAGACCAGCCTCAGCCTCTTGGAGGTGAATCGTTGCCCAGCCCGAGCCCGTCCTGCGCCTCCTTGATACCAAGCGTGCAGCATGCATGTCCACCCGATAACGCCTGCCCAGGGCTGGCAGACACCAGACACACGACGGGGGGGGGAGGGGGCCCGCGTTTCCCTAGAGATGCGTGTGGTTCCTCCAGTCGGTGCTCCAGCTCCGCCTTCTCGTGGGCAATTTGCCATGGAGTTGACCCCAAAGTGTCCAAGTAAAACTGCTCCACAGGATTTTCAAGGGCCAATTTTTCAGAAGTAGATTGCCAGACCTTTCTTTTGAGGCACCTCTGGGTGGACTTGACCCTCCAACCTTTCAATGAGCAGTGAACAAATTCACCATTTGCACCTCCCAGGCCCCCCCTTTATCATTCAGGATAGTAGAAGATCTGAGGGTGTCACTAGATTGTGATACCAGGGCCACTGTTTGGAGTTCTGTATTTATCTGATAGATAATCTTAAAATTCTTGGGGGGCATGAGAACTAATGTAAGGCTCCCTCAGATACGCATCATGGGACTCGTGGGCAAAGCCTGCATTGTGGGTGGGCTTTCGTGGCCTTGTTGGAGCCACGACATTCTCTTTGTTTGTATCCTAAATGAGGCTTCCACCCTCTGCTGGGTGAGCTGGGCTGTGGCTCCCAGGACCTGGGCAGGGGCCGCTTGCCACAACCCCACACCACCCTGCATCCCCAAACCCAGCCAGGATGCCTTTCCAAACAGCCCTCCACTCTCCACTGTGTGGGGTCTGTGCCCAGTGACAGACCTGGGGGCACAGAATCAGGGCAAAGAGGCAGGGATTGTGTCTAAGGGGGCTTGCAGCCCCTGCTGGGATGAGAGCAGTGGTCCTGGGCCAGGGACGCAGCCTCTCATCTCAGAAAACACAGCTGTCTCCACACCCCGGCAAGGGCACGGCACCATGGGGTCTGGGCGGGGCAGGGTTTAGACATCAACATGCAAAGGCTGCAGGGTATGATCCACAGTCCCTAGCCCACATTACAGCAACGTCATTAAAGACGAAACTGTGGGGTGTTTCATGAACTGGGTCAGCTTGGCGGCCTCCCCACTTGCCAGGGCAGAAACAGGCTGGCTTTGCTCCGGGAGGTTCTACTTCCTTCCAGAACGTTCTCCACCTCATGCATTCCACCTTCAGCCTCATCCTGGGCCTTCATCCTGTTGACTGTTACTGCCCTGTGATGATTTTTGCTCCCAGCAACTTTCAATTCTCAGCTAGCTGGCTGCAGTGGTGCACCACTCCAGACCCCAGTCCTTGCAAGGAGCTGGCATGGACCAAGGGTGACCAGACGCCTCCTCTGGCCTTCTCGCCCCTCAGGTTTTGTACAATGTGTTTGAATCTTTCGTGACGCTGGGTGGTGACAACGTGACCAGTGTGGACTGTGTGAAGGGCGTAGGTACGTAGCCGGGGCTCCTGCAGACCCCGTGCAGAGCTGGGGCACCAAGACCCTGTTCGCAGACTACAGTGGAGGGCGTGGTTCCTGGGCCTCGCTGGGCTTCGGCAGGCCCTGCAGTGCCAGGTCCTGTCTCCCAACCCACGCCCGCAGGCCGTGGTTCCCATGACTGGGAGGGGCTCAGAGCGCCCCCCTCCCCACGCTGGGACCAGGCCCACTGTTAGAGAGAGTGGAGAATCGGCCCCTTGTCTCGGGCTGGTGGGCGTCTCCGAGGGGGAAACTGCGGGGCATCTGGGACGGGAAGGACCAGCGGGGGCACAAAGGGCCTTTCACGGGTCTCAGGCAGCGCTGTGTCCACAGTGTCCTTCTTCGTGGTGAGCCTGGGGGGCACGCTAGTGGGGGTCTTCTTCGCCTTCCTGCTGTCCCTGGTGACGCGCTTCACCAAGCACGTACGCATCATCGAGCCCGGCTTCGTCTTCATCATCTCTTACCTGTCATACCTCACCTCCGAGATGCTGTCCCTGTCGGCCATCCTGGCGTAAGTCCCCGCGGCACGAGCATGCATGGCCGAGTCAGGGGGTCAGGCCAGAGCACCCCCTCAGGGTCCCCACGGGGACCTGGCTCAGTGCATCTCTTGCGGGTTTCAAGAGAAAGATGGGACGAGAAGACAAGGGCAGGCAGAGGAAGGGGGAGCGGGGCTGGGGCCTGCGTTTGTCTGTCTGGACGGGTGAGTGGAATGGAGGAAGTGCATTTTCCAGCTGGCCACGCCAGCCGCCCCACTTCCCCAAGGTGGGAAAACGCTGACTCTTTGTCCACACTGGGGAAAAGGTTGACATTGTCACAGACTTACCTGCTGATGGCTTCAGAGCCCACTCTGAGCAACACTTTCTAAGTGTTCATGGAGACACAGAGGGGGAGCATGCATTTTGGCCTGAGCTTGCAAGACAGTTGGCTCCAGAAATGTCTTGTTTGACCCTTCCCCAGTCTTCGAGACAAGGGGCAGCTCGTGCCCCTATGTGTCCTGCAGGGGCCCAGAGGCCCTGCATCCACCCTCCTTCCCCTCCCTTCAGGGCAGAGCTGGCCAACCAGACCCCACAGGGCGGGCTGGGCTGTTGGCAGAACCTGCAACAGCCACCTACTCCATAACACAGGTTGTAGAGGCTTGTAAACAGATGCTTATAAGACGTGCAGGGGCACACAGCTGTCGTGCCCAGGGTGTGGGGAGGCCGGGGCAGCCCGACCTGCCCTGTGTGGGGGTCGGCAGCCTCCCGAGCACAGTGAGCTGGGAAGCAGGGCCTTGCAGCCCTGGAGGGTGTTGGCAGCCTGAGCCCGAGGGCCGAGGGCACACACAGAGAGCTGGCCCTGAGAGGGGTGGACACCTGCCCAGGAATGGAGAAGTCTGCAATGTGACTGGCCAGGCTGGAGTTGGGCCTTGGAAATAGGCTGCTCATGCCCCGGAACCAGGCCCTGCAGGGAGCCCCGGGTTGGGCAGGCTCCGAGGGTGGGCCCTTGGTCCAGACCTGCCCTGAGCAGGAGTAGCTGGGCTGGGCCAAAACCTGACATCCTTCCCCATTTCCTCTTGTTACCCAGGATAACCTTCTGTGGCATCTGCTGCAAGAAGTATGTGACAGCCAACATCTCGGAGCAGTCAGCCACCACGGTGCGTTACACCATGAAGATGCTGGCCAGCGGGGCTGAGACTATCATCTTCATGTTCCTGGGCATCTCAGCCGTGGACCCACTCATCTGGACCTGGAACACGGCCTTTGTGCTCCTGACGCTGGTCTTCATCTCCGTATACCGTGCCATCGGTGCGAATGGGCGGGCGATGGAGGGTGATGGAGGGTGGTGGAGGGTGATGGAGGGTGATGGAGGGCAGTGGTGGGTGATGGCAGGTGATGGTGGATGATGGCAGATGATGGAAGGGGATGTCAGGTGATGGAGGGAGATGCCAGGTGATGGAGGGAGATAGAGGGAGATGGCAGGTGATGGAAGGGGATGTCAGGTGATGGAAGGGGATGTCAGGTGATGGAAGGGGATGTCAGGTGATGGAGGGAGATGGAGGGAGATGGAGGGAGATGGAGGGAGATGGAGGGAGATGGAGGGTGATGGAGGGAGATGGAGGGAGATGGAGGGAGATGGAGGGAGATGGAGGGTGATGAAGGGAGATGGAGGGGGATGGCAGGTGATGGAGGGAGATGGCAGGTGATGGAGGGAGATGGCAGGTGATGGAGGGCAGTGGAGGGTGATGGCAGGTGATGGAGGGCGGTGGAGGGAGATGGCAGGTGATGGAGGGAGATGGCAGGTGATGGAGGGCAGTGGAGGGTGATGGCAGGTGATGGAGGGCGGTGGAGGGAGATGGCAGGTGATGGAGGGAGATGGCAGGTGATGGAGGGCGGTGGAGGGTGATGGCAGGTGATGGAGGGAGATGGCAGGTGATGGAGGGCAGTGGAGGGTGATGGCAGGTGATGGAGGGCAGTGGAGCGAGATGGCAGGTGATGGAGGGAGATGGAGGGAGACGGCAGGTGATGGAGGGAGATGGCAGGTGATGGAGGGAGATGGCAGGTGATGGAGGGTGATGGCAGGTGATGGAGGGAGATGGCAGGTGATGGAGGGCGGTAGAGGGAGATGGCAGGTGATGGAGGGCGGTGGAGGGAGATGGAGGGAGATGGCAGGTGATGGAGGGCGATGGAGGGAGATGGCAGGTGATGGAGGGAGATGGAGGGAGATGGCAGGTGATGGAGGGCGGTGGAGGGAGATGGCAGGTGATGGAGGGTGATGGAGGGAGATGGCAGGTGATGGAGGGCGGTGGAGGGCAGTGGTGGGTGGTAGCAGAAGGGCAGGTGGCCTGGGCTGTACCTTCAGGGGCAGGGCAGCAGATCTTGTGGAAATGAGGGAGCGGGTGTTTGGCAGCAGCACCCAGGCTCTTGCCCAGCGTACAGGACCCAGAGCCCCTGAGGCACACCACCTCAGGCTCCTCCTGGCCGTCCTCAGGGCCCTCAGCACCTTGTGGCTGACGTGCTGTACGGGGCAGAGGCGGGGCTGGGGTCCTCCCAGCCATGGTGATGGCCTGAGGGCCAGAGTGGAAAGTTGCAGAGCCTCCAGGGCACCGGCTTAGGGCCCCCTCATTGGGTTCCACACTGCCTCGCTCTGAGGACGAGCCTGTGTGAGGCTGGGGGGACTGAGCTTAGGCTGGCCCCCAGCCATTTGCCCAGGCCCGCGGTCCCCGCCTAGCACCTGGTCACCCGAGCCTGGTGTGTGGGCACTGCAGAACAAGAGTCCGCCCAGGACTGGCCCCCATCTCTGGGGCACAAAGTCCACCTGGGAGAAATGCCACGGGTGGGGTCAGCCCGCTGCTCTGCCTGCCGCCCCCACGCCATGGCATCCAGCGCCCCACAAAGGCTCTCAGTGAGCAGACGTGAGGCAACGGAGACGCGGTGGGAGGTTGGTCACGGACCCTGAGATTTTCCAGGCTCCACACGCAGCCCCTGAGCAGCGCGTTTGTATAGCGGCCGTTTGGGGTGGGAGGGGAAACCCTCACCCTTGAGGACGGCAGTGACCGTGGCCTGGAGGGACGAGGGCAGGCCCAAGATGTGACAGGACTGGGGGTGGGCAGGGGCACAGACTCAGGAAAGACTCTGGAAGCCACATCACTGTGTCACCGTCCTCCTGGGTGAGCAAGAACCCACCCTCCTAGGATGTGTAGTCCTCCATGGGGCTCCACGGGGCCGCTGCCTGCCAGGGACGGCGGGTGTCTGAGGGCCCCAGGGTGGCTATCACAAAGTGCCGCACACTGGGGGGCTTAGAAGAACAGAAACCTGTTGTCTCGCCGTTCTGGAGACCAGAAGTCCGAGATCAGGGTGTCAGTAGGCTGTGCTCTCTCCAGAAGCTCTAGGGAGCATCTTCTTCTTCCCTCCCAGCTTCTGGGGCCCCAGGCGTTCCTTGTGACAGCTGCAGTGCCGTATGGCCCCCTCCGTCTGTCTCCCTGTCTGTGTCTCTTCTATAAGGACACCACTCATGTAGGATGCGGACCCCCCGGGAGGTACCTGCGTGGCGCAAACCGTTCGCACTCGACTGCTAACCTGAAGATTGGCGGTTTGAACCCACTCAGCAGCTCTGCAGAAGAAAGGCCTGGCAATCTGCTTCTGTAAAGATTACAGCCAAGAAAACCCTATGGAGCAGTTCTACTCTGTAATGCGTGGGGTGGTCATGAGTCAGAATCTCCTTGATGGCAACTGATTTCCTGTATTTTCCCCGCTCCAGTATGACCTCACGTTAATCTGACAGCATCTTCAAAAGCCCTATTTCCAAACAGGGTCACCGTCACAGGTACCAGGTTAGGACTTCAACATAGATTTTGGAAGACACCATGCGACCCACAGCACCCAGGTGGCAGAGCCTGGCCTGGCGCCTCCCCGCGCCGCGGCTGAGGTGCAGGCCCCTGTGGACGGCGCCAGGGTGGCGGGAGGTTACGGGGCGCTGAGTGCACACTTCCACCCCGCAGGCGTGGTCCTGCAGACCTGGGTGCTGAACCGGTACCGGATGGTGCAGCTGGAGATCATCGACCAGGTGGTCATGTCCTACGGTGGCCTGCGTGGGGCCGTGGCCTACGCCCTGGTCGTCCTCCTGGACAAGAACAAGGTCAAGGAGAAGAACCTCTTCGTCAGCACCACCATTATTGTGGTTTTCTTCACCGTCATCTTCCAGGTAAGGCCTTGCTCACCCCCAGCCCAGGGCTGCGCGAGGCGGGGCAGCCACCCTGCGGCCCCTCCTGGCCCCACTCCAGGCTGAGCAGACCGCCTGCTGCCCCCTCCACACCGGGCCTGCTCGCCTGCTGGCGGCGCCTGCCCGGCCGAGTCCGAGGGGCCAAGGGAAGCGGTGTCGGGCCGTGTGGGCCCCTCAGGGCCCAGCGGTGTGAGACGCCAGCCCTAATTGGGTTTTATAATTTTAGTAATGAGGAGTGTTTTGTAGGTTCTTCCGAGGCCCATGGGGGATGCCACAGTTTGTCCTAGAATGTTCTTCCCAGAGTCGCTGATTAACGGGGCCCGGTTAATGTTACATCGGTGTTTCCAGCTCGCCGGGCACGCGCCCGTGGCGCTGTGGCCATGGCTAACCCGAGAACACGCTGCCGGGACGAGGGGCACCAGCCTGGCCCCTCACCCCCGCAGGGCTGCTGTGGGATCCTGACCACAGGGGCTCAGGGAGCAGCTGCCGGCCTTGGGGATCTCACGCAGTGGGGACTCATGGGGGCTGTGGGGTCTCCCACAGTGGGGGCTCATGGGGTCTCGTGGGGCCTTCATTGGGACTTATGGGAGCTCGAGGGCTCATGGAGGCCAGCTGCTCGCTCCTGCCCCAGGGGCCTGAGTGGGACATGGGGGCCTGGGTCCCCTGTCCCCAGGGTCACCATGCCCTGTCCCCCAGGGCCTGACCATTAAGCCCCTGGTTCAGTGGCTGAAGGTGAAGAGGAGTGAGCATCGGGAGCCCAAGCTCAACGAGAAGCTTCATGGCCGGGTGAGGGGGGGCAGGGGGACCGGGGGCTGAGTGACGGTGGTGTTGGGGGGACTGGGGGCCAGGTGAAGGGTGGCAGATGGGGAGGCTGGGGAGGGAGTGGGGGGAGAGGGCGAGAGGCAAGGGGAAAAGGAGCGAGGACAGGTGGATAGAGGAGGTGGGGGTAGAGGAAGGGGAGGGGAAGGGGTGGCAGGCCAGGGCCAGGGGGCTGGGCTGGGCTGGGCTGTCCCAGCATCTCTGACCATCGTCTTCCCTCCAAAGGCCTTTGACCACATCCTCTCAGCCATTGAGGACATATCAGGCCAGATAGGACACAATTACCTCAGAGACAAGTAAGTGGCTTAAACTGCCCCGACTGGACCGTTTCCATTTCTTCCTGTCACCCCACAACCAGTGGCCTTCACTGTAGGACCTCTGATATCTGGAGACCACGTCTGCTTAACTCAGTGCCACCCAGGCTCCGCTTCTGGGGAAATTCTACAACTAGAGCTAGGAGGCCACCCACATGACGTGCTGGGGACCGGGCTGGTGGGACCCCTGTCGGGGAGTGAGGACATCCCCTGGCCTATGTGAGGTCGGGCGCCAGGGGCACACAGACCTCAGTGTGAGGGTCTCAGGGTCACGCAGCCGCTGGGGAGGTCGCTGAGCAAGTCAGAGGCAGGGCCACCCTCCTCCTGCTTCCCAGGCACAGAGAGAAGAAGGCCCCGCTCCAGTTAAGTCCAAGTCATCAAGATGTTTGGGAACTGAAAATCAGGAAAATAAGTCGTTTCCCACACGGCACGAACACAGGGGAGCTGTGTTAGCCTCCGGGGTCTTTTTAATCATGAAACGGAAATCCCGGGTTTATATTTTATTTTAAAAATACATCTGACACGTAAAACTATAATAAATCTAGTAATTAAAGCCCTTAAAATATACCCTAGTTGGTTCCTGTTTTATTAAATAATTGTGTATGTTTGAAGTTGAAGAAAACAACCAGCGAGGGTGACTCTGCTTGTGGCCTCAGAAAAGGGAACAAGGTTCTCCATGGCGACCGACTGTTAGGACTCACAGGGCGGAGGAGGCCCTGGGCCCAGGGCTCTCCAATGGCCCATCCCTGTGGTCCCAGGAGGCACTGCTTCAGTTAGCTTTGGCTCCTTGGCGAGGCCAAACTACCCTGAGGTATAAACAGCAGCGCAGTTGCTGCTGGAAGAGATGGAGTCGGGGAGGCGGCTGTGTGCATGGCGAGCAGCAGGAGCGCTTTTGCAGGAGAGAAGCCACAGCGTGGTCCTCGGGTGAGACGGTGGGCTGGGATCTTCTGCCCTCCAGCCTCCAGGGGCGGCCCCGGCTGCTTCAGTCACCCTTGCTGCTGCCCCTCAGGCTCCGGCCAAACCAGCCCCGGCTGCAAGTTACTCCCCCAGTGACCTGAATAACCATGCTGAATATCCATCCAATTCCGCTCAGTTTAAAAGCTTCTTTTCTGTTCAGCCTGGCTCCCTCTCAGAGAAGAGCTCAGCAGGGGTCTGCTTGCTCCTTGCCTCCCCTCCATAGAGGTAGAGTGTGCCTCCCCTCACTGCAGCTCCTGTCCAGCTCAGCCCCTGGCCCCCAAACCCTGTCCTCCTTCTCAAAGATCAGGAGTAACAGTTCACGAGGTCGTATGGAGTGGGAAAACAGAGTCCCCAGCTTTAGGTACGTTCTACTGACAGCTGCCTTCCAGAGGAAGATGGGGAAGCCAGACAATGCATTGGTCAATGGATGGCATGGCTGGCTGTTTCCTTCACCGCTCGCCTTCATAGTGGTCACTGTAGAAGCAAATCAGGAGGACGGGGGCGATGGGGGAGGAGATCCTCCCTTGTGCAGAATCTTGCCCACCCTGAAGGCAGCGCCCCCAGGGCTGACGTCCGTGTCTGATCCCCCAGGTGGTCCAACTTCGATAGGAAATTCCTCAGCAAAGTCCTGATGAGACGCTCAGCCCAGAAGTCGCGAGATAGGATTCTGAATGTTTTCCACGAGCTCAACCTGAAGGATGCCATCAGCTACGTGGCTGAGGTTCGGGAGGTGCCCATGCTCCCGGCTGGAGCTGGAGGGCTGGAGAGGGCATGGGATGTGGCTCCCGCCATGGTCTGGGCAGGGACGGTGGCCCTGCCATGGCCCCGATCTGTGTGCACCCCCCGCACCCAGAGGCAGTGCATGGGTATGATGTTCTCTTGCCCTGCAAGGTCTCATGGGGCTCACAGGTCCTCTGGCACCCCAAGACTGGCCAAAAGCAGGCACCCCACATCTCCGTCCACACACAGGGAACCGAGGCACAGAGACCCCAGGTGGCTGTCTGTAGGACACATGGCTGACTGTGCTGGTGGGTCTAAGATATACGGCCAGGTCCTCAGACCCCGAGCTTGTGTGTCTCCTCTCATGAGATAGAAGGGGACAGGAAGTACATAGGGAGGGCATGGGGCCAGAGCCCCCAACGTAGGCACATGTGTGCACATGCACACACATGCACATATATGCACGAACACATGCACACACACGCACATGTATGCACGAACACACGCACGCGCATGCACATATATGCACGAACACACGCACATGTACGCATGATCACATGCATGCGTATGCACATATATGCACGAACACATGCACGTGTATACACATATATACATGAACAAATGCACACATGCGTATATATGCACGAACACATGCACATGCATGCACATATATGTGTGGACACATGCACATGTATGCATGATCACATGCATGCGTATGTGCACGTATGCATGAACGCATGCACACGCATGCACATGTATGCACGAACACATGCACATGTACGCATGATCACATGCATGTGTATACACATATGCACGAACACATGCACGTGTATACACATGTATACATGAACAAATGCACACATGCATATATATGCATGAACACATACACACACATGCACATATATGCATGAACACATGCAAGCACATGCACATAAATACACACACACCTGGCTGTTTCTCCCTCGCAGGGTGAACGCCGGGGGTCCCTGGCCTTCATCCGCTCGCCGAGCACAGACAACATCGTCAACGTGGACTTCAGCACACCACGGCCGTCTACCATGGAAGCCTCTGTCTCCTACTTCCTGTAAGTCCCATGCTCAAGGGCTCCCTGCCTGGTCCTTGCTCCCCAGCCCCCGCCCTCCCACCCCAGCCCTCTGGTCGCTGAGCCCTCTCTGGACAGACACCAGCCAGCTGGCGTCTTGGGGCAATGAGGGTTGTGGAGAGGGGTGAGTCTGGGCTCCCAGCAGGAACTTCATGGGGGTGGCAGAGAGCAGGAGTCCCCAAAGCAGTGCCAGGCGCCTCCTCCCAACAGACACTTTCTTATTGGCCAATTGGCAAGATTATGTTAGTGTTTGCAAGGCTGAAAGATAGGAGAGAAGGGAGGGAGGGAGGGAAGGACGGGAAGGAGGGAGGGAGGGATAGGAAGGAGGGAGAGAGGGGCAGGAGAGAGGGAAGGAGGGAGGGATAGGAAGGAGGGAGGAAGGGAGGGATAGGAAGAAGGGAGGGAGAGAGGGAAGGACAGGAAGGAGGGAGGGAGGGAGAATGGAGGAAGGAAGAAGGAAGGAGGGAGGAAGAGACAGGAAGGAGGGAAGGATAGGAAGGAGGGAAGGACAGAAAGGAGGGAGGGGGGAAGGAAAGAGAGAGGGAAGGAGAATAGAAGGAAGGAGGGAGGGAAGGAGGAAGGAGGGAGGGAAGGAGGGAAGGATAGGAAGGAGGGAGGGACAGGAAGGAAGGAGGGAGGGATAGGAAGGAGGGAGGGAGGGAGGGACAAGAAGGAAGGAGGGAGAGGGGAAAGAAAGAGGGAGAGAAAGAATGGAAGGATGGAGGAAGGAGAAGGAAGGAGGGAGGGAGGGGAAGGAAAGAGGGAGGGAGGGAGAGGAAGGAAGGAGGGAGAGGGGAAAGAAAGAGGGAGGGAGGAAGAATGGAAGGAAGGAGGAAGGAGGAAAGGAAGGAGGGAGGGAAGGAGGGAGGGACAGGAAGGAAGGAGGGACAGGAAGGAGGAAGGGAGGCAGGAAGGAAGAAGGGAAGAAAGGAGGGAAGGAGGAAGAGAAGGAGGAAGGACGGAGGGAGGGCGGCTGCATAGCTCCCTAACAGCTGAGGCCCGTTGTTGGTCTCATTAGTGTTGATCCAGCGTCTGCTCCACGCAGCATCCACTGGGGACAAGCCCCTGCCCTCTGGGTTCATGGGCAGGGTCTCTGAGGGGATGAGTGGGAGGGGCTCTGGGGTGTCAGCCTTTAACAGGAAACAGAGCCCTGAGGAGGGGGACGCCTCCGGAGGACCCCAGAACAGCCTCTGGGCAGAGCGGCTGTAAGGGTGGGTGGGTGCAGCGTGAGACAGGCTGGCCCTGGGCTCAGCTCTCAGACACACGCGTCCTCTGTGCCCCGACAGGCGAGAGAACGTCAGCGCCGTCTGCCTGGACATGCAGTCTCTGGAGCAGCGGCGCAGGAGCATCCGCGACACGGAGGACATGGTCACCCACCACACGCTGCAGCAGTACCTGTACAAGCCACGGCAGGAGGTGGGCGCGGGGGCCGGCTTGGAGAGAGGGTACTCCAGCCCCCGGCCCCGGGGCTTTTAGCGTGGAGACCCCTCGCGTGGGCTCGGGGGCGGAGGCGCGCGGTCCCCTCGGTCCCCTGGTGCTGTGGCCCCCGGCCCCCCAGGGCCCAGCGTGCGAACTCATCGCCGCTCTCCCGCAGTACAAGCACCTCTACAGCCGGCACGAGCTCACGCCCAGCGAAGATGAGAAGCAGGACAAGGAGATCTTTCACAGGACCATGCGGAAACGCCTGGAGTCCTTCAAATCGGCCAAGCTGGGGATCAACCAGAACAAAAAGGCCGCCAAGCTGTACAAGCGGGAGCGCGCGCAGAAGAGGGTAGGGGCGGGGCGGGGCCGGCGCGGGGCGGGGTCAGCAGGAAGGACAGGAATGAAGGTCTGCAAGGGGGGCCCAGGTCATCGTGAGACAGACAGGGGTCATCATGGGAGATGGAGGTCAGCGTTGGGGGACACAGAGTCAGCTGGGGTGGGGGGCGCAAGGAGGAAGGGGAGGCCTTGGGGGCTCGAGGCCACGGGCCTCCCAGGACCGGCCCGGCCAAGGCCACCATGGCGGGGTCATGCTGACCCGTGTCTTCGTCGTCTCGCAGAGGAACAGCAGCATCCCCAACGGGAAGCTGCCCATGGAGAGCCCCGTGCGCAGCTTCACCATTGAGGAGAGAGGTAAGGGCTTGGCCGGGGCTACATGTAGAACTGGGGCCGGGCAGGGGCAGAGGGCCTCCTTCCTCCGCGTCCCATCTTGGGGAGGGCTCCTTCGTCCATGACAGCGGGCAGGGGCTGCTGTCCGGCCGCCAGCCGCTCTGGGGGTCCTGCCTCTCTGTGCTTGAGCCACAGAAAAGTGCCCCTCTGAGCAAGGCGCCTCCCTCAGCCTCCTCCTGGCTGTGGTCCCCGGTTCTTCCTCTCTGTCCTCCCCAGGCCGAGCATGGGTGGGGGAGACCGGACCCTCTGCAGCCAGGTGTCTCCTCCGCCCGGTCCCTGAACTGCCCCATGCCCCCGACGACAGTCCCTGGGCCCCGCTGGGCTGGTCAAGGGCATTTTCCACCTCGCTGCCCTTCCCCGCCCCAGATCTGGAGTTCTCAGACCCCGAGGAGACCCATGGCTATGAGGCCGAGGAGTTGAGTGGGGGGATCGAGTTCCTGGCCAAAGTCCGACAAGACACCGCGACAGACTCCACAGCAGGTGAGGGACGGCAGGGACAGGGCTGCAGGCGCCAGGCCACACGGGAGAGGCCCAGCTGACCCAGAACTGAGCATGGTCCTCACACACGTGCATCTCAGGCCTCCAGGTCTGGTGCTGGGTCCCCGCAGCCCAGGGACCCCAGCACTGCTTCCGGGGCTCCACATGCAGGCCGTCATCTGTGTGCCTCTAACTGCTGCCCGAGGCCGTGGGCTCGGGGGATACAGGCTAGCGGCGGCCGGGCCCTGCTGCCGCCCACGTGTCCCTTGGAGCGGGCGCCTCCTTGCAGGCCCCTGCCCCCGCGAAGCAGGTGTGGGACTGGGCTCTCAACCCCTGGTTTGGGGAAAGGTCCTGCCGCAAACTTGGAGGGCACGTGTGGGGGGCTCCGCGGTCCGGGGGTTTTGCAGTGGCGGGGGGAATCCACGATGGGGGCTCCATGATGGGTAGGGGCTCCGTGATCCGAGGCTGTGGCCTCATCTTCCAGGTCCTCTTTAGCAGATGAGCGAGCGCGTCGAGCCCGGGCGCAACCTTGGCCTGGGCGTGTCCGGGACTTAGCAGCCGCTGCCCTTTCTCCTAGGAATTGACAACCCCGTGTTCTCCCCGGACGAGGACCTGGGCGTCCTGGCCAGGGTGCCACCGTGGCTGTCTCCCGAGGAGACGGTGGTGCCCTCCCAGCGGGCCCGGGTGCAGATTCCTGGCTCGCCCGGCAACTTCCCTCGCCTGACCCCCATCCGGCTCAGCACCAAGTCCGCGGACTCCTTCCTGCTGGCCGACGGCAACGCGGAGGAGGCGCGGCACCACGGCCTGCCCGCGTCCACCCACATGTAAACTGCCCAGCGCCGTGCTAATGCCGCTCTTCTCCTCTCTCCTCTTCAGGTCTCCCTCTCTCTCTCATGTCCTGGGCCTGAGCTTCTGCAGACTTTCTCTCCATGCGCGTCCTTCCCGCCTTCTAGAGCCTATTCTACAGCTTCTTTCTTGCTCAGCTGTACATTCTTAGGAGACACTGGTGGACAGACTCCCCCTGAGTCTGTTTCTCCAACAAGACGCAGGGCCCCACGCCGCTTTGAGGAGCTGCCTTCTTAGCATGCTCTTATTTACTTTTAGGTTGTCAGTTTATCACAAACTGAGCACGTCCAAGAGGGAAGCAATGAGTCCCCTTTGCCATCCTACAGGGCGGAGTGCAGGGAAATGGTGGATGGCACCTGTGGTGGGGATGGCCTCCCAGCTCAGGCAGGAGAGGAGGCGAGGGGAAAGAAGAGAGAAGAGGGGAGGGGAGGGGAAAAGAGAGGGGAGAAGAGAGAGGGAGGGGAGAGGAGCCTTATTCCGCAGGTGTTGAGGGAATGCCCTGCTGGGTCCCCAAACTGCTCCAGCACTTTCCCCAGGGAAGAGGGTTCAGCCCACCCCCAGCCAGGCTGTGGTCTCACTTCAAGTTTCCTTTGGGTGTTTGCTGGGATGGGAGGAGGCGCCCACTTAGAGGAGCTCTGAGGTGAAGCCTTTCCCTCCAGCGCAGGTGGGGCTGAGTCTTAGGTTTCACACTCATTTAAAATGAAGCAGGAACAAGTTATTTTTCTCTCCTTGTTGACAACTCGATGAGAGGGCGTTTAATAAGCCTGTTCTTTCCACTGTTGGAGATGCCAGTAAGCCCTGTTTCAACAGTCTGGTGCAGGTGTTTTCCTCACGAAAGATGCTGGATTTCTCCTGAGATACTGTCTGGGACTAGAAATGAGGGTGCACAGGGAGGGTGTCATACTTGGTCGCACCACTGTCCCGCATAAGGGTGAGGGACACAACATGTTCTCAGACCGTCACAGGGTACGTCAGCTGCTGCTTCTACTCGTCCTTACTTTTGCTCCTGGGCCACCTGTCCTCTCCCTCCCTCTTCCCTGGGATGGCACACTTGAATCCCTTTGTCCACAGGGCAGGGTCCCGTGTGCCCGGAGAGGTACACAGGTAATATGCCCTCGGCAGGGCCGCTCTACCTGGCCGTGGGCATGGTGCTGGGACACTTCCCTCCTGTAGGGGAGCACCTGCCAAGGGTGCCCCCAGAATCAGACCCCTTGGCTGATCCTGTCTCTGTGGACAAAGGATGTGGCCAGAAAGTGTCACAGAACATTCCACGCAGCCCCGGCAGGCCCAGGCAGGACTCAGGCCAGGTCTGGGGGGACCCTCCCAGCACGGAAACCCAGGAAGTCTCTCTATGATCCAAGCAGCCCATTTAGGGGATTAACAACAGCGTCCAGCTGTAGGGGCCAAGACAGAGTGGAAGGTTAGAAGACCTTACTGTCCTTGGCCCTGAGCCCCCTCCCCACGAGCATGCTCGGGCACCAAGCGCCGTTTCTGGCGAAGCCCTCGGACAGAACTTCCACAACAGCAAGGACCAGGGCAACAAACCTTGCGCTCCTTTCCCGGCCCTCTCCTGTAATGGTCCGTCTCATATGTTCTCGGTGATGGCCCGTGATAGTCTGGGCCGCGGAGTCAGCAGCCTGACAAGCACTGACCCGTGTACCCCGGTGAGGATGCGCGCAGGAGTCTGGGGCGTCACGGCCTCTCACTGTGTTCTCCTGCAGGTGACACGGGCTCCGACGTGCCTCTGACCGGACGCTCCTCCTCCCC